ACAGTGCTGCATGTCGCGGGAACGTCTTTGAGCATGTCTGCACACACGAGGGTCTCTTCTGCATTCCTTTGGGCCATGCCTGTCCCCACTCACCAGGGCTGGGAGGAGGGGTGGGTGAGGAAGGCCGGCCTTCCCCAGGACCTGGAGTGTGCGTGGGCCGACACGTACAGGGGAGGTTCAGGGATGCGGCCCGTGACTCTCCAGGCACTTGGGAGGGTTATGAACAGATGTCCCTCTGCTTCGGAGAACCACTGACCCAGGAGGTGGGGCCTTCCCCTTCTCCCTGGTCTCATGTGGAAAAGACGGGACACTGGGGCTGGGAAGTCACTGGGAGACGACTTGGGGTGTGCAGAGGAGCAGGCCAGCTCGCTCTCATCCTCACACACCAGAAGCAGCCAGCCAGAAATGAGCCTGTTTCTTCTTCCTGTCCAACCAGAACAGAGGGCTCCGCGGAGAGCCCTGCAAGGGATGGGCTGACTCACGGAGCAGCCGACGTGGTGGATCTGCAGCCACGTACGTCCTGCAGCACAGCTTCCTGTTACTGTCGTAGCTGTTTCCTGGGCCATTGTAAGAAATCGGCTTTACCCTCTGTGTGGCACGTGCCTAGTTAAGGGTGCAGCGGAGTCAGACCGTGGGTGCTCGACACCGCGACCCCGTGGTACGCAGCCCCCCGTGTCCGATGCAGCTTTGTCTACATGCTGTTTCAGCGAGTGTGTTTCAGGACTCTATTAGAATGGGAGTGTAATTGCTAATGCATTCACAATAATTGTCCTAGACAATCTTTGAGCATGTCTGCACACACGAGGGTCTCTTCTGCATTCCTTTGGGCCATGCCTGTCCCCACTCACCAGGGCTGGGAGGAGGGGTGGGTGAGGAAGGCCGGCCTTCCCCAGGACCTGGAGTGTGCGTGGGCCGACACGTACAGGGGAGGTTCAGGGATGCGGCCCGTGACTCTCCAGGCACTTGGGAGGGTTATGAACAGATGTCCCTCTGCTTCGGAGAACCACTGACCCAGGAGGTGGGGCCTTCCCCTTCTCCCTGGTCTCATGTGGAAAAGACGGGACACTGGGGCTGGGAAGTCACTGGGAGACGACTTGGGGTGTGCAGAGGAGCAGGCCAGCTCGCTCTCATCCTCACACACCAGAAGCAGCCAGCCAGAAATGAGCCTGTTTCTTCTTCCTGTCCAACCAGAACAGAGGGCTCCGCGGAGAGCCCTGCAAGGGATGGGCTGACTCACGGAGCAGCCGACGTGGTGGATCTGCAGCCACGTACGTCCTGCAGCACAGCTTCCTGTTACTGTCGTAGCTGTTTCCTGGGCCATTGTAAGAAATCGGCTTTACCCTCTGTGTGGCACGTGCCTAGTTAAGGGTGCAGCGGAGTCAGACCGTGGGTGCTCGACACCGCGACCCCGTGGTACGCAGCCCCCCGTGTCCGATGCAGCTTTGTCTACATGCTGTTTCAGCGAGTGTGTTTCAGGACTCTATTAGAATGGGAGTGTAATTGCTAATGCATTCACAATAATTGTCCTAGACAATTTCCGTTTCCTGATCACCCTGTTATTATTTATTTATGTACATATTTTATACCTATTTATAATCAGAGCATGTAATTTTATGTTTCATGTTCATTATAAATCTTCATAAAGAGGGTTTTGAAAAAGTTCATGAACATGTGTATAATAATTGTGTATTATGAAACAATTACGCATAGATTTCAAATTTTGGCACCAAAATAAACACATACTTTCATTTTCCACAAAGATTTTGTTTGTTTTTGCCATAGGGCACATATACTCACTGAAGAGAGACAGAGAGAGGGTAAGTGAGAAATCAGCCCCCAGGGAGAGGGCCACACCACGGTCTCCTCTCCTCCATTCTCCCGTTGGTATTCTGAGCATTTAGGTGTACTCAGAGTGATTTTCAAGCCCCCAGATCTGGTACTCGAATGCCATGTGGGAGCCCAGAACCTTAACCACCATGCCAGCTGCGGCCCCTTGCAGACTTTCTGAAGTCTCTTCATATTGCTACGTTTTAGTTACTTTAATGGCTACTTAGTACATTGTGCAATTAATACACCAGCGTTTTCTTAAATGCTCCTGTGTTGGACACACACATCATTTCTACCTTTCTCTGTCCTAAGCGAGGCTGCAGGAGACGTTTTCCTGAGCAGTCGGTCTTCCGAGTTTGCACTGTGTCCTTGGAGTGGTCTGAGGAGGGGTCTCAGTCCAGAGGCAGGTGTGAGGCAGATTGGTGACTGAGTGGACTGTCCGTGCGCACAGCACTGGAACACGGGCTTACAGTCCTGTCCCCAGTAGTCCACTTTCACTCACACTTTATCGATAATCATTGTTAATGCAGCCTGTGCCAATTCTGTTTCGTTTGGATTTCTTTCACTGGTGTTAGGATTAAATCATGTATGGCACTCACTTTTGAGAAACAGTGTGACCTAACTAGGGGATGACGAGGGTGTCTGTCACACGAGGGAGCCTGCTGCACGTGGCCTATCCTGGCTCTCAGAAAGGACAGCTTTTTCGTTCTCTCGTTGGTGCCGCCGGGTGTGCTGGTCCTGCCCCGTCCCGCAGGCCTCCCCACCCACGCCGCGACCCTGCCTCATCCCGCGGGCCGCCGATCAGGGTCTTTTGGTGCACGGTGTTTTAGACCCAACTTCCCCATCTCAGGACTGACACCCCGGGCCAGCCGTCTGCATTCTCCAGAGAACTGGCCCCATCTCCAGAGACAGGTGTGAAATGAGCTTGCAGCTCTCCAGGGCCGAGCTGCTGGGCCCTGCAGTCCCGTCGAGGTGCATATTTCTGTGGAAGGTTCCTTTTATCACCCTGCACTCAGCCGGCTTCTCTCTAGCTTGTCTTGCCCGTTTACCCGACTAGGTTCCTCATGGAGGTTTCATTCGTGTCCCTGCCTGACGTCCAGCGACAGCTCATCCTGACACACGGTGCCTGCGCAGGCCCCAGCTGCTCCGCAGTGCTGCATGGACGGGCGTGGGGTGGCCAAGCTCCTGTCGGTGCTGCCCTGCGTCCGTCTGTCCTGCACTGGCGTCTTTCTGTGCGTCTTTGCTCAGCTGCTGTCTAGCAATCGGCTCCCTTTAGGGAATTTGCAGCAGGACTTCTCTTTAAGCAATCCATCTTCTCGAAAGACAGAAGAGTTGCAGGGGATCAGGGAGTTGTAACAAGCATACGGTCTCTCGGTTGGAAAAGCACTGACAACATGGAAACCTCTCCTCTTTCCCGAGGGCCCGGCAATTTGAGATCAACCAAAAGACTGTCCTCTTCATGAGAAACTGGACTGAACAGTCGTTCTCTGAGCAGCTTCATTTCAGGGCTTAAAGGGGGTGGTGGTGCTGCAGTCTCCACTTCACACCCCACTAGAGTCCCGAGCTGCCCCGACTTCTCCTGCAGAGGCCATGTCCCTGTGGGTCACAGGAGAGAGGCCTGCTGGGTGCCGAGCCCCCTGCCCACCCGACTCTCCTCAGGGCTCAGTGTCGCTGTCCCTCCCTGTCTGCACAGACCGGACCCTCCTCGCTCCTCACTGCATTGTCGCCCCAGCCCCACACCACAGGGGCGCGTTATAGGGGGTGACTCCTCACCACCCCCCAGCAAGCACTTGCACCCCGTGAGAGAAACTGTAACAGAAAATGGTGACCCAGTCTCAGCCTGTCTCTGGCCTGTCCTCAGTTTGTGCAGCTGGAAGTGGGAGGGGCGCGGCTGCTGGTGCTCGCAGCCCGCCAAGCCCTGGTGGCAGGGCCCATGCTGCCCTCTGACGGCAGGGGCTCCTCCTCAGGACCAGCATCACGGTCCTCAGCCTGCACAGCCACTCCAGGTCCTGGGCAAGCCCGGGCCTCCGTGTCCCTGGCCCCTGGAGAGGTAAGGCTCTGTGTCCTGCCTTAGGATGGGCCATGAAGACAGGGGTGGCGGTACAGGGTCTTGGAAGGGGTCTTGGCGTTGTGTGGCGCCGGCGTGCTGCCCTTGGGACGTCAGCCCACTCATACTCACCTCCGTCTGTGAGGGTGCCCTGCCCCCCGCCGGGTTCCTGCCCTCCCTGGTCTGGCTGCCACTGTCCCCCACGGACATTCAGACTGACTCAGAGATCTGTCGTGGAGTCAGGCTGCCCTCCCTGCCCTGTGGGCCCTGCCCAGAATTGCCCCTCTGATAGGACGGGGCTCCCAGGCAGGACCAGGCCTTCCCGTATGTGAAGCCCGGACCTGCGTTGTGCTATCTGCTTGTGGCACTGGTGGAATGTGAGTGTCAAGTGTGAGTACTGGCTGTCCTGAAGTAACGAAGTGCTTCCATAGTGCGAGTGGGTCTTAAAGCACTTGCTGCGACACTTCGAGGTAAATACACTTGGCCTTAGCCTGGTTCGGCCTGTGCCAGCGACAGCACTGTGTGGCCTGCCATCTGTCACGGATGTAAAGGACTGGCCTGTGGTCAGGGCTGGGGAGGCCAAGGTCAGCCCTGGCATCTGGCAGAAGCCTCATCACTGTGGTGAGAGGCAGGGGGCAGGGAGGGGCAGACTCACCTGAGGCTGGTGTTAACCCCCCCAGGGGGCGCAGTCCCGCCCCTCAATCCTATTACGAGGGCCGTATGGTTTCAGCATGGGATTGGGAGACAGACCTTCCAACTGCAGCACCTCATATGTGTACTGTGCACATGTGCATGTCTAGATGGGGGCTCGTAAAACAGTCCCGACTGTCGGAGGTTCAGACTGCGCGCACGTGACCACGTGACAGACCACAGTGCGGGGGGCTTGGAGTGTCCACCCAAGCTCAGCGTGCTCTGGGAACTGCTGTGGCCACTCTCCTGCAGGGGAGTGTGTTATAGTAAAAGCATCTCTTAATAAAGGGCATTTGGAAAGTGCGTGGACAAGTCTCCATTTATTAACTTATCACTTATTTAAAATCCTGTCTCACACGGCAGTGACCCCAGGACCCTGCCTGGTGTTCAGCTGTATTTTAGGCGTCTTCACCTGCCTCCTCTGCTTCGTTTTCAGCTGTCCTGGCGACATGGCACCTGGCTTCTCTCCACAAGGACAGTCCGTCTGACAGCACAGCCCTCGCCCATGGGATTGGTTTGGAGCCCCTACCGGAGATAGGTATGTGCGTGCATGCCCTCTGAGCATGCCTGCGGGTGTGTGTCCACTCCGCCGACTGCCGAGAACGGCTCCATCCTGGAGAGCTGAGCTCGAGCGTCAATGGCGGCTCGGTCTCCCTGCCTAGAAGAGCTTGTGCTTTCTGCCTGTGACTTCCGAAGGCTTTTCTGTCTTCTTTGTTATAAGCTCAGATTATGACAAAGCCTCTCCAAGAATGGCGAAGGTCTGTGCTTGTGTGGCGGTAAAGTCGGGGCCGTGCACACCCCACGGTCGCCACGCTCCAGCCCAAGTGTGGCGGGTGTCTGGGGCCAGGCAGGGCTGTTGCTCAAAATGCTAATAAAAAGATACTAGCTCCTTTTCTCCCAAACTAGCCAGGCATAGGGAAAGTGAGTGTGGAGGTTGTTCTCAGCGAACAACATTGCGGCAAAGTGGTGCCTTCGTAGAACGAGCTGTGACTCGCTCTTTGTTGAGCAGCAATGAGTGTGTGGCCCCGCAGTGCCACCAGCCATGTGGTCTCATGGGTGCAGAGGTTAGGCCTAGGGAGAGGCACTGCATTGTACCGCTCCATGATACGTATGCAGGGGATTAGACGTGGGTGTAAACATGTAATCTACCTGCTCTGTGATATGTGTGTGTGATTAGACATGGATACGAACATGTAATCTACCTGCTATATGATATGTGCGCATATACGTGATTAGACATGGATATACACATGTAATTTACCTGCCCCGTGATATGTGTGTACATGTTATTGGACATGGATATACACATGTAATCTACCTGCTCTGTGATACGTGTGTGCATACATGTGATTAGATGTGGATATAAACATGTGATCTACCTGCTCTGCGATACGTGTGTGTACGCGTGATTAGACATGGATATAAGCACCTAACTCTACCTCCTATGTGATATGTGAATGTGTACAGATGATTAGACATGGATATAAACATATAACTCTACCTGCTACATGATACATGTGTGTACACGTGATTAGACAGGTATGTACGCATGTAACTCTGCCTGTTCCATGATTCGTGTGTGTATGCATGTGATTAGACATGGATATAAATGTGTCATTCTACATGATACCTGATATGTGTGTGCACATAATTAGCATAGATATAAACATGATGCATAGATGATACATGATGGATAATGTGTGTACACGTGATTAGACATGTATATGAGCATGTAACTCTACCTGCTCCGTGATACATGTGTGTACATGTGATTAGACATGGATATGGGCATCTCATTCTCTCTGCTACCTGATATGTACATGCATGCTGGGTGTGTTATAACTGAGGGACACTACTGAAGATTCATTGTTCGCTCATGTTCAGCTTTTGAAATCTCACATGAACAGCAGCCTTGCTGAAATGCTGTGCATATTTAGAGAAGTGTCATCTATAGAAACTGCATTTTAAAGTAAACTTCTTCGATGTCCCTCCTCCCAAACACCCTGGCCCAGACACGGAGCCAGCGGGAGAGGAGGACCTGGTCTGGGAATAGCGTAGCTGGGGACGTCGGTGAGCTCAAGACCTAGCACAGCCCCTTACTGTGGCCTCGAGGACATTTCGGTGCTGTAGGAAGCGTTACTACTCTGAAAGCTGGAGGGCGAGGGGAGGTGTGGGAGGGAGAATGAGTCCACCCGCGGCTGTGCCCAGGAGCACTGGGCCCCCTAGTGAGGATCAGGTGATAACAGGTGTGTCTCTGAGGGTCTCCAGAGTCGCACGCCCCACGCACCATGAAGCCTGAGGCCACAGTTGGAACTGAACCCCCGATTAAGGCTGAATTACAACTGCACCTACATGGTTATCTGTCTGTTATAGCTCGTTTGGGGCCTACAAAAAGTTAATATTCGTGGCATTAAAAACAGGAGAAATAGCAGGGTAGTCACAGCGAGGTCTGAGCTCTGGGCTGGATCCTCTGTGAACGGTCCCACAGTGAGACCAGGTGCTCAGGTCCAAAATCTGGTCACCCTGGACACTTCCCTTTTGTTGAGCCGGCTCCGTGGGGCGGCGGCGACACCCTGCTCAGAGACCCGATGCCCGGTCGGGACGGGGACTGGCATGCATGCGAGAGCCTGACGGCTGGTGGGCTTGAGGGGTCACGTGTGCCCAGACGGCACTGGCCTGCTCCTGTGGTGAGGAGGGTCGGGACGCCGTGCCGAGGTGCCTGCAGGACTGTCAGCAGCCCCCGGCCTCTGGCCGCTGCCTGGAGGGAGACCGGGCAGGGGTCCTGCCGGACCAGGCGCCTGTGCCTCCTTCCCCACTGCGCCCAAACTTGGTGCCTCGACCACTGGGCTGGGGAACAGACCCTCAGCTCAGCTTTTCTTTCAGCCGTGGGCCCGTGGCCATCACCAACCATGGTCATACTATCACTGCTGAAGAGGGCGGTGGGAAGGCCGGGTCGCCTCCTAGCACGGCTCCGGCAGCTGTGATTGGTGGGGAATGGGCAGAGTGGAGGCAACGGAAGTGAAAAGACGATTTCAGGACTGCCACAGAAGTCCAGGAGGGAGGGGACGAACAGGGCTCCGACTTGTACAGGCGGAGACACAGCCAGTCACTGCGGCCAGTGCACTTTGGCAAGTCCAGAGCCCGAGCTCTGGAGGTGGAGCGGGAACCAGGGCGACTGCTCCGGAAGCGATGGGCTCGGCCTGACTGAAAGGCAGCTTGCGCCTGCTTGTCCTTCTGGTGCACCTCTGAGCACTGGGTACTCGCCGAGCTTCTGGAGAGGGCGCTGGTGCAGGCCGGCTGCCTCCCTGTGGCCTGGCTGCAGAAATAAACACCCTCCTCTCTAGCCTCTGCCTCTCAGGTCACCGACCTCAGACTCTGGCCAGCAACAATTACTGGCAACACTTCAGATACCATAAAGCTCCTGCTTCTAAATGCTATGTCCTTGCAAGTCTGGTTCAGGATAAAGGGAGATTAAGCTCCCTGTACAATTCAGCATGTTGCTGACCTGGGGGTGAGTTTGGGAGAGAAAAGAACAGAGCCCGAAGTGGACCTTGAGTTAGGTCCTCCTCGTGGTCTCTACATCTCCCTGTTGCTACTCCCTTTAGTCAGATTCCCTGAGACCACAGCCACCAGGGCAGGCTCCAAGTCGACATCACCGTTGGTGGAGCCCTAGAAGGAAGAGGGGCAGCACCTCTCCTGCCCAACTTCCCGTCACTGCCCGGCCCCAGACGTCTGCCCATTCAGAGCTCTGTCCAATCCACTGCACAGTGAAAATTATTGCCGTCAGTTCTGACACAACATGGAGCATGTGATCATTTTCAAAGGAGGAAAAATAGAATCACGTACTTAGCAATCAACACACTGTGGGCAAAGGAGGTGAGGGCCCCTGTGCGTGGAGTTGGCCATAGAGAATGAAAAGGCCATTTCCGGTATGGAAAAACCATGGATGTGGTTTGTAAGGAAGTTCATCCCTAAAGAGGTGCGTCCATGGCCTCTCCTGGTGAGTGGCTGTGGTCTGCAGTGGTCAAGACCCCCACTGAGACCCTGGCTGAAGGGCTTGGCCGACTTCCTGGCAGGCTGGTGCTCAGGGCCTGTCCTCCTGCCTGTGTCCACTGCCCCAGCACGACCCACAGGGCCTGTTCTAGACACCCAGCATATGTCTCCTCCCCCTCCGACCTGCTTTTCCCTCTGGTTTGGTTAATAGTAAGTGACTAAGTGAATGGAAGACCTGGGATTACTCAGAAGTGAGTTTTGATGAAATTATTTTTTTCAAAATAATCTTTCGCCACATTTTGGAAAGACTGTATGCCTTTGATGTGGTTTTCATTCTAAAGTCAACTACATTCTTTTCATATTCAGTCTAAAAATCTACAGTTACCCTAGCTTTTCTTAGTTTTTTTTTTCTTTTTTTTTGTTTGTGAATTTATTTTGTAGTCTCAAAAATTAAACTTTTAATCTTTTTTTTTTTGGAGAGGTATTTTTTTTTTTTTTTGCTATAGGGCGCATGCGCTCTCCAGACAGAGAGAGAGAGATAGAGAGATAGAAAGTGAGAAATCACCCCCCAGAGGGGATGGCCACGCTGCAATCCCTTCTCCTCCATTCTCCTCTCAGGATCTTGGGCACGCACACACACGTGCCCGGCGTGAGTTTAAACCACCGGGTCCGGGACTCGAACCATGGCCGACTACGTGGGAGTCCAGCGACATAGCCATTATGCTAACTGCTGGTCCCAAACTTTTCATCTTAAGACCCTTTTATTGTACTAATATAAAACACTGCTGTTAGTGTGGAGTTCATTTAAAGTGCAGAGACCTTAGTTTATGCTGTTTTACTCGGGAGTGTAACAGATTCCATTTCCAAGGTATTGATGATGATTTTAAGGAATCTATGTGAGTGGTTTCAAAAGGTATAACACTCAAAGAGTGTAACAGTTTTCAATAATTCATATGTGTCTAAAGTTTTTAAATTGTTTTGTATTCTTAAGACGGTTAAACTTGGGACCAGCAGGTAACTTGGTGGTTAAGGTGCTGGACCTCCAATGGCTGTCTGTAGTTTGAGTCTGGACTTGGCAGCATGAAAATCACGCCAGGCATGTGTGTACACACGCCCAAAATCCTGAGAGGTGAATTGAGGAGAAAGGATTGTGGCATGGCCTTCCCACCTGGGGGAGGAGGGAGGTGATTTCTCACTTTCCTTCTCACTGTGTTTCTCTCTCTCTCTGGCTAGTGCATGCACCTTACAGCAAAAACATTATTAAAAATATATATGTAGTCAAACACACATAGTTAAATACACAGTTAAACACACATAGTTAGAGATATAGTTAAATTTTTACTGCTTTATTTGTTCTCTTGTTTTCAAAATTAGAGGGAACCAGCAGTTAGCGTAATGGCTATGTTGCTGGACTCCCATGTAGTCGACCGCGGTTCGCGTTCCGGACCCAGTGGCTTAAAACTCAGGCCGGGCGCGTGTGCATGCGTGCCCAAGATCCCGAGAGGAGAATGGAGGAGAAGGGATTGCAGCGTGACCATCCCGCCT